TTGCTAATCAGATAGTTTCTTAGCTAGAAACTGAACTGAGAAAGAGAGCAAGAATTACATGACTTTAAGATCCAATATTGTATCAGGGCTAGAAACGCTGGCAAACTAGTACAAGTGTTTTCAGGATGCTTGACAGCTTCTTCATCCTATTAGGCCAGTAACCTGTGAGACTTTCAACCTTGTGCATTCATTTAGCAGCCTCTAGGGATACGTCTGTACAGCAAAACAAACGAACATGGCAGCAAGTCTCAGAGCTGGGGTCAAATGACTCGGTCTTGCACTATGGGGCTAAAAATAGCCGTGGAGACATTAGGGCTCAGGCTGGAGCCCAGGCTCCAAGACACTCTCGCTTGCCGGGTTTCAGAGCCCAGGCTCCAGCCCGAGCCTAAATGTCTACCCTGCTCTATTTAGCCCTGCAGCAAGAGCCCTGCAAGCCCAGGTCAGTTGACTCGGGCTCTAAGACTCACTGCCGCAGGTCTTTTGTTGCTGTGTAGATGTCCCCTAGAACAGTGGTTCCCAAACTTTAACAACCTGCTAACCCCTTTCACTAAACTGTCAAGTTTCGCAAACCCCCTTCTAAAAATGAATATTTCCAGGGATTTTCTCCTTTATCGGAGTATAAATTATAAAAGCAGTGATCTTGGAAATATAACATTTATTTTTATCACATGCTTATTCCACACTATTATTAATTATTCTTTATCATTACAGTATTTTTATTACATTATGAAAACGGCAACACTCTTCCAAGATCTCACTTTCGTAGCTTGTATCACTTTGAATAAGCCTGTTATAAGACCAGGCTCCTATGTTTCATCACGGAGTATCAGATGTGAAACAGCATGAAGGTATTTAAGAAGCCAACTCAAAGAGTTCCTCCTTCCACAAGCATTCAGGTCTTGAGCAGTCCAGACAAACAACACACGTTACAACAAAGCTTAAACTTGTTCTTCATAATAATTTAAAAAACAATACTAGCTGCCTATTTAATTATAAAATCAGCAAAAAATATCCACCTCCCTTTCCATTTCTTATAAGGAGTCTTGAAGTTTAAATCTCCTCAGTGTG